ATTGATGCAGAGGCTGTGACAAATCATGACAGGCAGTTACATTCCAGGACATGAAAATGATTATTAGTAGTTTCTTGTTGTTTTCATCTTATATTCACTTTCTTTCAGATTTTTTTGATTTGATTTTTTTTTTAATTTAATCAGAATGAAATGAGATGTTTTCACAATAGACACATCTTCATATAAATTTCTATTGGTGAGTGTCTATAAGTGGAATTAAGTAATTAGCGTGGAAAAACACAAAAAAACTCATTTGACTCAAATGTCACTATAGGCTGCCGTACAATTGAATCTGATGCTTCATAATACTCATAGTAGCACTTCAAGAACAGTCTTACTGTTAGGCTCAGCGCTGGGGCTAGGTTTTTCTCCATCACGTGATCACGCCCCCCACATGTAACTAGTGGATTGGTTGTGATCCAGTCACGTGATCACATAGGTTTATCTCCATCGCATGACCACGCCCTCACACATAATGTGGGATGGTTGAACCTTTTATTTGGAGGAGCTAGCTAGGTTATTGCTATATTACATACAAGTGATCATGTGTGGGTGGGGCAGTCATTAGAGCAATGCCACCCAGGCAGGCGCTGCTACACCCTCCCTCACATCACCATGTAGAATTTTAAATGCCATATGTAAAAAAGGAAAAACTAGCTATGCCATCCTCAAATCCATCTAAATCATGCTACATACATTAAGTTTTGACATTCCTGCCTTTTCCACCTGTAAAATCAAGTAAATCAAGAAATCATTGAAATGCCACTGTGCCCAGGGGTTTAGTCAATTTGTCTGCTATTATTTCTTCAGTTATGATATATTCAATTGAGATAATATCATTGTTCAATTGGCTACAGGTGTAATGGAATTGTGTGTCAATATGCTTGCTCCTAGCAGTGATCACAGCTACAATGGCTAGATTGATCACACCTTTATTATCTGTCTTGATTGACAGTGAATCATCTACTATAAAGCTCAGATTCATTATCATGCTTCTTAACCACATTGCTTCATATATGATCTCACTCAATGCTACATATTCAGCCTCATTGGAACTCAAAGAGATGCATAGCTGCTTGCTTGATTGCTATGAAATTGATGCACTGACAAGCATAAAAACATAGTCAGATGTAGACTTCTGATTATCATTCAATGAGCTGACTTAGTCAGAATCTGTATATCTGACCAGCATATATGTCATGTTCAGGAACTTATTCTCAGGTCCTTTATCATCATCATTCTTTGCATAAAATATACTGATTTCATGTATGCCTTTCAAATATCAAATGATGTGTAATAGGATCTTTCATGTCTTAGAGGTAGGAGCAGCATTCTTCTGTGTCAATAGAAAAGCCACATGGATGATATTCAGCTGCAGTTTAACTGCCAAATACTGCAAGCAGTCAACACCATATTGGAAATACTGTTTTGTAAAACCAGTCTCTTTTTCAGGAACAGAGAAGTCATCCAAGCATAGACTCTCATCCATGGGCGTTTAGACAGTAGTTGTATCATCCAGGTAGAAATCTTCTACCAATCAATCAATATAACATCAGAGGGTCAATTTGATGCCACTATTTATATGTTTTACTTTCATGCCTAGATATTTTATGAGTTCATTTAAATCTTTGACCTCAAGCTTCTGGTGCAGAATATCAACTAGTCAATCAGCATCCTTCAGGATGTCCGCAAAAATATGAAGATTATCAACATATATGATCATATATAGGTGTTTTTAAGCTGAATGCCACTAAAGGGCAAGGTCATAAGGACTTGAGGTAAAGCTGTTCTCCTGTAGCAGAGTCATCAAGTAATCATATCATATTTTGACAGTTGGATCCAACTCATATAGAGATTCTTCAACTGCACATACAAGCATATGTGGAGCTCCTTCTTTGAAGTCAGTAGGTTGTCTCATATAGACTGTTTTTCTAAGTCATTTGTGTAAGTACATCATCACTATATTCATCTACTGTAGGGTTCAACTGTGTTTTGTAGTGATTGCAAACATCATGCAATTTGTGATATCTATAACTACAGAGGTGTATATTTCTTAATGTGTTCTCTTTTTGAGTCAATTGTCACAAATTACTCATCTGAACTTTCACAATATATCATCTTCATCAGCATTGAGGTCACTCAGATGATTCTTTTTGACAAAGACCCAGTAGCTGAGTGCCACTGATTCATCATAGAAAATATCAGAATGTGAAATTAATATTCAAGTCTTCTGATATTCAAGATCATCAATTTCATGTTGCATAGATTTCCTTCAATATGACCTCATCTGTAGACAGTTAATCACATCCTTGAAGCTTTTTGACAAGCTGCTTGTAATTGAGGAAGGTATGTACATTATAAAGGCTTTCACAGGCCTCATTCATAAAATGTATGATTCTGAAAAATCAAGAACATCAAAATCATCCTCCATCAAATAGATGATATAGATCAGGGTGTTTTTAGCTTTAATTGTTGTAATAGTGATGGAATCCTTTTGTATTTTCTACACTTTTGTAGGGAAAATCACATCAGATATATCAAAAATCTTATCAGAGGTAGGACTCCACACATGATAGATTGACTAGTTGTGAAATTCAATAAGTTTGCATAATTCAGCCTGAGTAGACAGCTTATCCACTGACTTCTGCAATTCATGAAGATGAACAAAAACATCAGATTTAAGCTTATAGAAGTGAGTGATCTGCAGTAGCACATTCATCAATGTTGAAAAAGAAATTGTATAAGGACTACAAATGAGCTCCTTGCTGTCATCATTTATGATTGCAGGACAATACTTCTCATTATATAAGATTGTAGATATGAATGTATTATTCATGATTGAAACAACTATTTCTAGAATATCTGCTCAGAACTTCTTTGGAATGTTCTTTTCTATAATAATTGCTCTGACTTGCGTCATAATGATGCAGATACTACATTCAGATACATCATCTTGATGAAATGATTGAGAGATAGTTGATTCTCACACTGTGTCATCAGCAATCATTAATGTTATTATTTTTTGCAATTGAAAAACCTTATCTACATCTGTCCTGATGTAGGCAGGGGCTAAAAAACTGAGGTTCTTAATAAACTTAACTCAATGAGAATAATAATCAAATGCTTGATCTTTGCTATATAGGAAATAGATTCATCTGAATTATATCACATCATCTGTGATTAATATGAAATATTGTGTGCCTTGGTGAGATTCTATATAATAATTGTCTGTATCACTCAACATGCAGCCATTACCTACTATATCAATATGAATCTGTTCTATTAGTTTTACAGCCCATAGCATGAGGGTGATTGAGTATTTACATGTCATACCTGCTTTGACACAGGTGTTGCAGAAGAAATTAGTCTTGAGGCTTTTGATGCAGATATCAGATAGTAAATTCTTTGCCAAAGCTATAATAACTCTTATGTGTATATGCCTCAGGTCAACATGCCACTCAGCAAGCATTCTCACAGCTGTAGGCAATTCTTGAGATTGGGATTGAGTATTGGCAGGATTGTTGTTGCTAGTGATGGCCAAGATCTTAGCATAATCATTGTCATATATATGTGATTTTGCTGTAAAATAAATTACTTTTGACTCATGATGAGTGTCAACTTCCAACATCCTTTCAACTATTTTATAAATTGAACTCTGAGCTATGTGAATCACAGTGAAAATAATGCCATTGAGGGCCTTGATGATGAAGTAGAACAGGGTATTTAAATTTGAAAGTTCATATTGAAAACTCTGATTCTTCAACTTAGCAAAAGACACTAAGTTAATAGTAAGATTTGAAATATAATGAATATCATATATAGATATATCCTCTCTGTCAGATTCTAGAATGAGATTTTCAATCTCTTTGATATAACTGCATCTGTCATCTGCTGTATGAACCTTGAGGTCATTGTCATAAGTTTTCCATTGAATAATAGATTGCTTTTTCCCCATTATATGAAAACTTGCACATGTGTTGAGAAATCAAGGCTTGGAGATAATGCCAGTGATTACTGACAGAGTAATTGCAGCATTGATAGCAGCAGATTGTGCCACTAGAAGATCAGAAGATTCATTTTTTTTATCATTTTTATTCTTCTTTTTATTCTTTCATTTATTGTGACTGCTGATGTTGCTATTTTTTATAGACTTGACAATCTTATTTTTATTTGCCTTCTTTCACTCTTTGATGGCAAGTTCAGGTTGTAATCACCAACAAGAGTTCTTAATGTATCAATTTGAGTGACAGATCTCACATTTGAAACTATTTGAATTCGTGATGTCAGACAAATTAGAGTTTGACATAGAGGAGGTAGCCGCGTTGGCTCATAGAGGTTTGAGATGTTCATTAGACTTGCTTGTACAATTCATTAACTGCTTCATGAGATTGTCAATGTCAATATTTTTAATAGAATTCTGGCTGATCATATAAAAATCATCTAAATGTGTCTTGACAAAAGACTTTTGATGTTCTTTCAAATCAATAAGAAAAAGATCATGATAGAAGTCCTCTGAGTCATTCACCAGTTTCTTATGACATGCAATTAAGTAGTGAAATCTTCTTTGAAATGCTAAATAATCATTGTTGACATGTAGAGTAGTCAGCTCCTTTATAACATTGAGGTGTTCTTCTGCCAAAGACATCACATATTCAACATCAATCTTTTTCCATAAAATGGCAGTGTTGTTGAGTTCCAAGACTTCAATGATTGTACATACAGGCCCCAATAAGAATTGTAACATACATCAATAGAGTGCTTTGATTCAAATATTTCATTTTTTAGCATTCAACATGTTTTGACTAATATCATCTGAGCAAATATGTTGATTCTTGATTAGAATGTCAGTTTCATCAATGACTTCAGCATCTACAAGGATTTCCATATACCAGGTTTGATAATTAGTGTCATTGAACATAGTTACAGCCTTAGTATCTATAGCTCTTTGAACATTCTTTTGATATTCACAGGTCTGAGATTTAAAATCATCTACAAGTGTATCATTGTTGATATTTGAAGTGTTCTGGTGCATCATTTGTTGACAAAAGATCAACAAATCTGCTACACTCATTGATCATGTCACTCATGTTAGGAGTAGACATTTGAGGCTGAGGACTTGGGGTTCCTTCACTAGCTGCTGTGGATTTGCATATAGACTCAGGAGCAGGTGTTTTGCCAGGCTTACAGCTTGATAAATTCATGATGTGGTTTGAACTTGGTTTCTGCTCCAGGCCTTCTAATTCTTTGTTCTTGTCTAATGATGAGAATGCTCCAACAGCTCTAGAATATGATTGTAAAAATTGCTTTTTCTCTGTTAAAGAAATAGATAGTTCAGTCATTAGATCAGAGAGTGAACTCATTCAGACATGTACACAGTCATTCTTAATGCAATTTTTGTTAAAAATCAGCTATCTGGACTATAACCTGTGGGATGGTTGAATCTTCTATTTGGAGGAGCTAGCTAGGTTATTGCTATAATACATACAAGCAATCACATGTGGGCGGGGCGGTCATTAGGGCAACACCACCCAGGCGGGCGCCGCTACAGATCAGTCATGATCTGGTCACGTGATCATGTAGATTTATCTCCATTGTGTGACCACATCCCCACACATAACTAGCAGATTGACAAAAAGATAACACATTTGAGATCAAAAAACATCTTAATCAATTCTGATCACATCTCTATAAGCTTTCTCTTATCTTCTCAGGCAGCAAGTCTGATGGTGTGCTGATGCAGCATCATCAATGCAATCAGTCCATCAACATCACTGAATGTATTCTGAGTCTTGATGTGCATCTGCTTCCCTATACACTGTTCATCCAAGAGACCTCATCTCCTCACCTCAATCATTTGCCACACATGTGAACTGAATGACATGGAGTCTTCAAGCTCTCCTACACCAGCAGACAGCTCAAAGAGCAGAAATGTCACATCAATATGTCTTAACCTACATGACCTGATGGCTAGTGATCTTCTAGCTGCTCATGAGACTGAGACACAGAAATCTCATGCAGAAGCACTAGCTGCTGCAAATATGCTTGATCAGATTGAAGAAGACTTAGATGTTATGAAGACAAAGAGTCTATCAAGAGCACTGATTCTTGAAGTCACTGTGAAAATGCTAGTCAAGAACTGATACAATGAAAGTCTAGAAACAGCTAAGCAGTCCATCACAATCAAGTCTGCTAGCTTCACTGATGCAAATGATGCAAGAGCTTCTATCTATGCAAAGACAGCTGCAGATAGCATCAATGTAACAAAAACATCAGCAATCATACTGCAGAAATCTCTACTTAGAAATAACTTCAGAGAAGAAAAAATATCACAAATTCTCATGTGTCTGTCTTCAGATCATCTAGCTCACAAAGCAAGCTCAATTACTACTCTTAGAAAGCTGAAGACTGAACTTTCAGAGTCTTTGACAGCAGTCATCACAGTAGTTCAAGTCATTCTCACAGACATTGTCATCATTTCTAGAAGCTTGCAAGACATGAAGACTCTGCTAGTCAAAAAGAATATTTTAACAGTCACTCTCATCAATGCTCAGATAGAGAAGAAAGAACATTGAATCATCTGTCTGATTTCTGAGCTGCTTATGAAGATTAGTGATTATGATGATGAAACTCTGTGTCTCTCAGCAGAATTCATGACAGAAGAATTCACACTTCAAATCAGAATAAAGTCTGTTCAGAGTCATTGAGTAAAAATACACTCTGAAAACTCAACAGTCACTCTTATATTACACTTTTCACAAGAGACAGCAGTAAACCTGTCATCAAAAGTGAAACTATATGAATATCAAAGATCAGTGATCAGAAAGGCATCTAAGATCAAAATACAATAATGCAGCAAATGCTGAGAATTTTATCAAGAGAGATACTGTCTCTGCATCCCTCACTGCAAAAAATACAATTCTAAGAATCATGTGAAAGAAAATTCATCCTGTCATAAGAAGAATGAAGTATGTGAATGTCTTAATCACTGCATTAACTGTCTTGAATCACATGCTGCAGATAATTCATCCTGCTCTATCAGATCAGAGATAAAGAATGAAACTGTTCAAAGATACTCAAGAAATTAGCTGAGAAATATTCACAATGCACAGAGTAAGACATACTTAATCAAGACAAGTAACAGCAAATACAGTGGTTAAGGCTCATCAGCAGACCTGAGATTGAATGATTCTACTGAGTGTAGATCTAATCTCATGTCAACATCAAACACAGCATCAAGTACAGCATTGAGCACAGCATCAGATACAGCATTAGATATGATGCTCAACTCAACATTTAATGCAACACTCAATACATCATCTCACACAACAACACTCTTCTTTCAGCTACTTAATGAAGAAGAACTCTAGATCTCCACAATTTCTGCAGATTATGCAAGTCAATGTAGAAAAAGAGAGTTCAGCACATGAGATAATTCTCAATCTAGTATTTGAAAGAAAAACTGACATCCTTCTCATACAGAAACTCTGAATTTACAGAAATTTAAGTCAACACATCTCTAAAAAGCATTCAGCATTCAACTGCTTTGCCTCAATTGAAAAGTGAGACAGAAAGTCACAGATCTTCACCTATGTGTGTAAACACTCACAAATTCATACTCATGCAGTCTCAGGTCTCTGAGCAGAAAATCAGAACATTCATATGCTGCACATACAGATCTGAGGTCTACAGCTACAGATAGTCAACATATACAATGCATCTTCAGGTGCAGAGAATTCTGAACAACATGTGAGCTGTCTTCTCTTCTGATATATCTCAGCACTCTCATTACTTCTCACTGATGACCTCAATATCAAGCACTCTGTATGGCAATCAGGAGTATCTCTAAGCATGTGAGTGGAATTATTTCTGCAATAGATCATGGATTTCAACTTTACTCTCATCATGGACTCAGACACCCTCACATGTGGGCATAACATGATAGACCTGGCCTGGGCCACCCTGGAATTAGTTATCAAAGAAGTGGACACACAGGTGGACAGATTTCTTTACACCTCCTCTGATCATCAGACTCTTCTCATTAAAATTAGTCTTTCACAGGGTGCAAGACCTGACAGACTACCTCATTTTTTCTGTCTTGACATCATGAATGAGAAGGTCTTTAATCAGACACTGAAGACCTATAAGTCAAAACTAGACAAACTATATGATATCTCAGAGTATCTTAATATAGATCAGCTGAATGCTTTGACTAAAGATATCACAGATGCACTAATAGCTTCTCTGAAAAGTTTCATCAAGAAGAGCATCAGATAAAGCACAGATCAGTCATAATGAAATGAGGACTGCTAGAAAGCAGTGACAACACTACATTAGACACAGCATCTAGACTCTAGTTTTTTATGAGAAGCAAAAAGCAATATAGTCAGAATTATCAGAAAAGTTAAAAGAGAATACTGATGAGACAAGATAGCAGAGGCCTCAGCAGAGAAAGATATCTTTAAGATGATTAAATGAGCTCATTCAACTGGCTCTTTTCATTCTTCTTCTCTTGTAGATGAAGAGACTGAGCTAACATGAACAATCTCTAGAGAGAAAAGAGATCTTCTGCAACAGATGCTCTTACAGAAGACTGCAAGCAGAGAGAATATCTCAGTTAGCTGATTCAATTCATCATCTGTCAAATTATTATTTTCTGTTGTCTCAGCATATGAAATACAAAGTTCTCTGCTGAACACAGGTAATATCACTTCAGAAACTGATGAAGTGCTAACAGAGATGCTACAAAATGCATGATCACATATTAAGATATCAGTGGAAAGGCTGTTCAGAGCCTGTCTTAGAGTTGACTGACACTCAACCTTCTTTCAAGATATCACACTGATTGTACTGTCTAAGATTAACAGAGATTCAATACTTCTGCAATTCTACAGACTTATAGTCCTTCTCTCAATGTTGAGAAAGGAACTGAAATGCTTGATAGCTCATAGACTGGCCTGAACAGCTATACAAGAGAAGATTGTCCACATTTAGCATTTTAGAGTCCTCTCTGAGCAGACTGCCTCAGACCTAATGGCAGCAATAGTTCATGATATAGAGGAAGCCTGAGCTCATGAAAAAGTAGTCACTCTTCTTACTCTGGACATTAAGGATACTTTTGATACTGTACTCAGAGAAAGAATACTGCAGAGATTGCAACAACAAGACTAGCTATCAAATTTAATTAGATAAGTAGAAAGCTTCATGACAGAACATACAGGCAGAATCAGATTGGATGAACTTCTGAAAGAGCTCTTTGATATCTCAGCAGGGCTTCCACAAGGCTCACCAGTCTCATCTATTCTATTCATGCTGTATATTCAGCCTCTGTTCTTTCTAGAAACTATACAAAGAAGATGTGCACACTCAGACTACACAGATGATCTAGGACTACTTAATGCTGAAATCACTCTTGAAGGAAATGTTGTTACTCTTCAGGAGAATTTCAAGATGCTAAATGATTGAGCCAGCAAAGAAGGACTAACATTTGATTTTGTCAAAACTGAGTTAGCACACTTCACACAGTGCAGAATTCTTTCAAACCTCTCAATTGATCTTGAAACAACATCTGACACTCACTCTATTACAGCAAATGCAGTGAAAAGCTTCATAAGATATCTAGAAATCTGGCTAGATAGAAAACTGAGCTTCATGAAACATGTGGAGACCATGGTGACTAAGACATGACAGGTGTCTAATGGCATACATGGCAAGAGGTGCTCCAGTACAACTGCTTAGATAATTCATTCAGATCTGTATGCTCTCTGTGCTCTGCTATGAAGCAGAGGCCTGGTGGCCTGAAGTCACACAAATGAAGAAGGGAAAAGAAATCTTCAATCAAATGAATTGTCTAGTTAGAAAGCTAGATCTAGTTCTTAGAGATGCTTTGCAAGAGGCACTGCCAGTCTACAAGATCACACTCATTTCAGCTCTACACTGTGAGCTAAAAATCATGTCAATAAAAGAGACATTAGACAATCAGCATGCTGTATTTGCAGTAAGAATCAAAAAGCTTGACAAGAGGCACTCACTAGTGAGGCACTCTAATAAAGTAGCTATCATCAAGCTCTATATCACATGTCTGTCTAGAGTGTTCAGTTATGCTGGTGGGATAGAAGCACATGACCCTTTACTCACATTCTTTTGAATGAGATTTCTCAGAAAAGAAGATCTGCAGATTGAGTATAAGACAGATCACACAAAGAAACAGACAGCACAAGACTTTAAGAGCTGACTACAATAACACAATTCTCTGAATCTGGTGGTTTTTACTGATGATTCACAGATAGAGTGCTCTCAGTGTGCAACTGATGCAGAATGAGCTATATGCTGAGATAATGAACATTGTCTAATCTTCACAGAAAATCTGTCAATGAATAAAGCAGAGATCTTTGACACAGAGACAATGATAGCTCTGCAGAATCTAAAGAAAGTCATCATCTCTTCTCAGATGAAGTTTGTCAGCAACATCTACATTTGCCTAGACAATTTGAAGATAGCATAAGCTCTTGAATCTG